CTTTGGTAGCTGAAGGAGAAACAGTCCATTTGTGCTTTTATACTCTCCTCAGGGTCAGGCAGCAGCATTTTTGTACATAGTGGAAGAAGAACATTGTTGCTTCACTTAGGTGGTTTCAGAAATGGGAGGTTGTTGCTGCATAATTGCTTCCTGTAATAACACATTCTCTCTCCTCGCTCTGGCTTGGCAGGAACCTTAAGATTGGCTATTTTAGCCAGCACCATGTGGATCAGCTGGATCTCAACATCAGTGCCACAGAGCTACTAGCAAAGAAATTTCCAGGTAAGCTATAGGGATTCCTGTGGAGTTAGTTGGTGACACATGACAAAAATAAGGATGGGTGCAATATAGCCAGATTTGGGAGAGAAGAAATATACCTTCCTGGCCTTCAGCTATCCAGCCTCTAGGAAAACTTATGCTTTATTGGTGATCTACAAGCAGTTCATCCTCCCCACCTCAGTATTTCACATAGACACATATATGTGCTTTATACCATATCTAGCTTGAGTTAGGAGCTTAACAATGTATTACTCTCTCTATTCGTTCAAGTGCATATTGTGTAACTCACCAGATCAGGAAGCCCCAAGTGTCATCTGTTGCCAGATAGTTTCCAAACCCAATTCAAGCTGCTCACATTAGCATTTAAAGCCCTATGTGACTTCTCTGCAAGGGGGGGGGTGGGCTTGGCAGTTCCGTTTCCCCAGCCACTCTGTGCGGCTTCCAACAGAATATAGAAACATAATAAAATGTAGTTTCTATGTCAGGCAGAAACACTCCTCTACCCCGACCTTTGAGACCCAAGGTCTATGTTTTCAGGACCTTATTCCTGTGAATAATTTGTTTCGGACTGTTTTTAATATTGAAATTGTTGGAACCTGCCCTGGGCAAGTGCAGGCAATAGATTGAATTAATAATAACAAATAATATTTTTCCCACTGTCCTCCTGAGGTCAGCCACTCAAGAATCCACTTTGCTCCGTAACCAAAAGAGACTGTCAAGCTAACCTGCCATCCCTATCCTAGTAATCTGGGGCCTCTCTTCTTAGCTGTTAAATCCAGTTAACGCATGGTTCTTTCTGTGAATTTGTGTGCCATGAATGCCACACCACTTCTCTAATCCAGTGCTAAGATCACTGTTTTACTAGGCTACCGTGGTCTCACCGATCCTGGCAGAGCAGCAGTGCTGTGGGGGTCTCAAGAATATAAGAAGCCTGCTGAGTAGGATCATCTAGTCCAGCAACCTGCTTTTCACTGTGTCCAACCAGATGCCTCTGGGTGGGAGTCCCATAAGCAGGCCTTCTTCTGTAGCTGCTCCCCAGCAATGGGTACTCATTAGCAATGAGAGGTTCTGTTCAGCTAACATGCTGGTAAGTGGCAGCTGCTTCATGAATTTGACACCTTTCGGTATTTGGGTTCCAGGGAAGACAGAGGAGGAGTACCGCCATCAGCTGGGGTGCTATGGAGTCTCTGGCGAGTTAGCAGTCCGTCCTGTTGCCAGCCTGTCTGGAGGCCAGAAAAGCAGAGTGGCTTTTGCTCAGATGACCATGCCTTGGTAACTATGCTCAGATGAGTATGCCCCCCCACACACACCTCTGCTTTCTTTTATAATGACCTCAATCATTGCACAGGAAGGAAGTGCCTTTGTGGCTCGCTTCAGGAATTTCCAACCCAGTGCTACATTCATTGCTTTTTCCTTTTCCTTCTAGCCCCAACTTCTACATTCTGGATGAGCCGACGAACCACCTTGACATGGAGACCATTGAGGCCCTGGCCAAAGCGCTCAACAATTTCCGGGTAAATCTTCCTCCAAGCAGCTGTTGGGGTCTTTGCAGAAACACTTAACTTCCTGTCTGGCCGTGCTGCTGGGGACTGATGGTAGTTGTAGTCCAAAATATCTGGTTGGCAAAGGCTGTTCTACGCCATTTAATTGCACTATGAACAGAGCTGAGCAGCTTTGCTGCCCTGTTCCTCGGTGATAAGGGAGTCTTTTTTATTACAACTATATCCCACATTTCAGCCAAAACTGGTTGTCCAAAAAGGAGCTTGCAAGATTTAAAATATGTTGCAAAATCTGCAGAGATAACAGGAGCCCCAGGTTAGCACCTGAAGCTATCAGGAGAATGGCTGGGAGAGCTGAGGCTGGTACAGCATGCTTTAAGTCTGAAGTTTCTTTGTCCTTCTTGTTCCAGGGTGGTCTGATTCTCGTTTCCCATGATGAGCGTTTCATCCGGTTGGTGTGCCAGGAGCTGTGGGTGTGTGGGAATGGCACTGTGCAGCGCATTGAGGGAGGCTTTGACGAGTACAGAGACATCCTGCAAGAGCAGTTTCGGAAGGAGGGCTTTCTATAAAGCAGGTGCCCAGACTGTGTGCATCAGCTGTTTGGGAGCGGAGTAAGCCGCCCAGCAACCCCCATCATAACCTGATGGTACAGCAGGGGCTTCGCCTACATCGTGTGAACATTAGCTGTGCCTGTTGGGTTCACCCTTCCAACACCCCACCCCGCCCCAGAAGCCAGCACCTGCTGGGGATTGCAGGAGGAGGAAAGCGACCAGAGTTGCCCGTTTTGCTGCTGGATCTGTGCCAAGTCTCTGCTGGGCAGGGACCAAAGGATGGCAGAGAGAGAGGTGGGGAGTGCCCAGTGCTGCTTTATTGGACAGGAGGAGGGGAGGTACCTGCTGCAAGCAATCCCTTCTCTCTCTCCACCTGTCTCCTTGGTAGAATTGAACCTGATGCTGTCATGTTCAGTGAGCAATCAGGTGGTTTGTGCGTGTGTAAAATGCTGCTAAATGTTGCACATTGAGTAGCTGCTCCAGGAAAAAGGGTGGAACTCCAAACTTGCCATAGAAATGGTTGGGGGGGGTCTTCCTTCTCCCCCCACCATTCCGCAGTAAAGAGGTCCTGCCTCTTCTTCTAACTGTCAAACACACAATTCAGATCCTCTTAGGAAAGCATTTCTGTCTTCATGGCTTAGCCTTCGGTTCCCCTTTCTATCCTGTGCAGGTGATGCTTTTGTAGGGTGGAAGGCAGGGAGGGGGGTTGTCTCTCCTCCCCGTCTTCACTCTGGGCTGCGATCTTGGAAATGGGTAGGGATAAGGCGAGAGTTCTTCTGGGGTGAAAACACAACAGTTGACCCCACTGTCTGCCAGAAGGTGGTTGGTGGTCTTGGCAGTTCTGTTGTTGGGGCTTTGGTATAAGCCAGCCTTTGCCAAGCTGGTGCCCTGCAGATGTTTTGGACTACAATCCTGGCTATATTCCCAAAACATATGCTGGACACTAGATTGGCAAATGGTAGCTAAGCTGCTCAAATGAATGGTCCACACATCTGTCCGGTCTCTGAGCTTCTAACGGTCTAAACTCCATGCAGGACTTCCGTTCTGTCCCAGCTAACACACTGTGTCTTGGTAATTAAAAAGAGATTTTTTATGTTGCAAGGTAAATTTTCAACGCCCTGATCATCAGCATTGAGGTTGCTCTGTAAATAAAATGGAATCTCTCTGGCATTTTGGAGTTTTGTTTCTTATTTTCAGCATGTGGAACTTGTATTTCAACACCTATGATGGTTTTGTTTTATTCACAGCCTGCTCTACATTGAATATTTGCAATTCCAGAACAGGGAACAAAGTAATAAAGATAAGTAGGAAAAGGCAATATGCAAACATTACAGAGTCACATAAGCAACAAATGAACAATTATGTCATAAGTCATACAAACAAAACTACACTGTAGGCAAACATTAAAGTTTTCCAATTTAACTCAATACCAATTTAACCAAGGGGGGGGGGACCAAAAGTGGCAATAAGCCACAGTTGGTGTTTCTCCTTCCCATTTCAGACAAAACTTAGGAGCCTTCAACAGCAGTTACAGCTGCTAGGGAGGAACATGCAGTTGGAATTGCTGACTTCTGTCTTCTTCCTTGCCTGCCAGCCCAAACACTGTCCTTCTGAATAGCTTGGGGAGCTATCCTCTTCGTCAAGTGCAGGGATGAGCTAATTCCATGCAATGCAGAATCTCTTGTAGTGATTTTTTTCTTCTTGGGAACCAACTTTAATTTAAAAGAATAAACATACAGTATTTCCTCAAATGTAATATGCACCTTTTTTGGGCCAAATTACATTTTCAAAATTAGAGTGTGCATTAGATTTGATGGTGCATTGTTGTTGTTGTTTAGTCGTTTAGTCGTGTCCGACTCTTCATGACCCCATGGACCAGAGCACGCCAGGCACCTCTGTCCTCCACTACCTCCCGCAGTTTGGTGAAACTCATGCTGGTAACCTCGAAAACACTATCCAACCATCTCGTCCTCTGTCGCCCCCTTCTCCTTGTGCCCTCCATTTTTCCCAGCATCAGTGTCTTCTCCAGGGAGTCTTCTCTTCTCATGAGGTGGCCAAAGTACTGGAGCCTCAGCTTCACGATCTGTCCTTCCAGTGAGCACTCAGGGCTGATGCATTAGATTTGTGTAAATATGGTACTATTCTGTTTCTTGAATTAGGGAAGTTAAAGCACCAAAACAAAACCTAAAAACCACCTTCAGTTGGATGTCTATGTCAAGGCTTAAACGTAGGTGGGTGCTGAATGTATTGCGTCATTTAAGTGAGTTCAGGGAGCAATTCTGAATGCAATTGTTTGAATGTGTATATGAATGGACAGGCAAATCTTAAAATGTGGAAAGATCTAGCCTCAGTACCTAAAAATGGCCATTTTTTAAAATGCTACCCTTCCCATGTGTTGCTTGCGTGGAATGAGAAGCTGGTCCCTTTGTGGGCACTCAAGGGACATGCAGGCTGCCTCACCTAGAAGACCTACTTGTGTGGCTGCCTCAGCACTACAATCTTCACCAACCTGGTGCCCTCCAGATGTTTTGATCTACAGTACAACTCTCATCCACTTTTGTGAGTTGTAGTTCAAAACATCTAGAGGGCACCAGCTTTGCAAAGGCTGCACTGCTTTGCACATGAGGGATAGTGGATGGGGGAATTCAGTCTCCTAGAAATAACATGTTTGTTTGTGCACATGTGCATCTTGCGTGTCAAAATTTTTGTAAGCAACCCTGGAAAAGAGACCATACAAAGGGGGAATAGCTATGCAAGATGGAGGAACAACCAGATGCCCGCTCTTATTTTTTATTGCTATATGTTGTAAGACACCTTGACAGTCATATAATCAAAAGGCAAAGTATAGATCAGTGATGGAAAATTACTGGTTCTCCAGATGTTGCTAAACTCCCAACAGCCCCAGTCAGCATGATAAATGGGAGATAGTGGAAAACTTAATAGCATCGGAAGGGCCACAGGTTCCCCTGCAATATCAAAATGCAGTATAAAAACATTCTCCACCAGAAGTACACACCTGCACTAGTCTTTGCTAAAATATTCTAAACTGGGGATATCTGCATAAGTGAACGGATACATTTTGCCCCTTACATAAATTCTAAACAATTGTGAATAGGCAACATTTAAATATTTGTGGACTACACTTTTTTAAAAGGCAACGTAAAATTTGCCTGAAGAAGGGGGACACCTGTACAAACTAAATTTAGTGCCTCCAACGTAAAAAGATGGCCATGGGCTGGGGCCATATTTCCAGAAAGATTTGTTTTCTCTGGAGTTTGCAGGCAGAGGAGAGTGGGGAGGGGACCAACCACCTCCGACAACTAGGAGGGGGAGGAAGAGAGGGGAGAGATAAGGAAGACAGGAATGGCAGGGCCCGTGCTGCAAACCTAGTCTGAGGAGACCGCCTCCTCTGCAAGAAGCGTTTCTGATGCACCATTTGTCTGCTGCTTCAATGGAGGAGGAGACGAAGAAAAGCAAAAAGTGAACTCGGCATCCCTTCCCGAACCCAAGACTTTCCACCACCCGCTCTTGGAAAAGGGAAGTCTCTTGGCTGGTTGGCATCCATCTGTTTCGGTAGACAGTGGAGGAGTGTGCCTTGGGTAGAGATCGATACGGGAGAGAGAAGTTTGATTGCAGCTGGAGCAGATGAAGACATCCAATTTCTCTGCTACAGATGCGCCATGGCGTTTCTTCACTCTGCGCTCCTCCCGGCGATCGTTCCTCCTCTGATCACTGTGGATGCACGACCCGACTGCCCGTCTCCGGGCGCTGCAAAGGATTCGCACACGCGGCGGGGTGGGTGTCGCCGACCTTCAAGTCACGTTTGCAGACACCCGCGCCCAAAGGATCCATGCATGCCGGCTCCGGTGAAACCCCCACGGGGGGGAAGGAAAGTGCGCCAAGAGGCGCCGCGCCGGAGGGAGAAGCTCCACTCCGCCCGGGAGGGCGCCCTCTTCCCGGAAATTCTGGGGGCAGGAGTCTCCCTCGCAGGGACCGCGCGCGCTCCCCCCACCATCAAGGAATCGCCACCGCGGGAGGGGGCTGCGGGGCGTCGGGCACGCGCCGCGAGAGCGTTCCCTCGGCGGAAGCTGCTTCTTCCTTCCCCAGGAGGAGCAGGCGGGGCTAAAGGCGAGGGAGGCGGCGCAGGAGGCGGAGCGCCCGCCCCGCAGCCGGCGCCGGTCACCCCTGAGAGGAGGAGAGGAGAGCCGGGTGGCGGCAAAGGGGGACCACCATCGCCGCCTCCAGCAGCAGCAGCAGCAGCAGCAGCAACAACCCAAGCGGCTCCGCTCCCTTCTCGCCGCCCGCGCACAGACGAAGCCGCCGCCGCCGCCGCTCCCGCTGGAACAGCCCTTCCTGGCCCTCGGCCGGGGACCCCGCGGTGCCCGCAACCCGCCTTCCTCGGGCGCGGGGTGGTCAGCCCCAAGCGGAGGACGTCAGCTGGCCTAGCCGCCCCTGCTCTTGCCCCGCTTCTCGCGCCGGAGCAGGAGGCGATGAGCGGCCTCGAGGACTACGCAGGTGGGCGGCGGGGAGGCCGAGGGGTGGGGTGGGGGGAAAGGGGGGGGCGGCGGGCGCGTGTGGGTCGTGGGGCCTCCGGCTCCTTCCCCCCCCCTCCCGCTTGGGGGGCATCTAAGTAACGCCGCGTGTTTTCTCCTCCTCCCCCAGGTGCGAGCCCCGTGCCCAGCCCCGGATCCCCCGGAGGGGACGAGGTGAGTTCCGAGCTCTCAGCGCCGAGCCTCCCTTCCCTCTCCTTCCCTTCCCGCTGCCCCGGGTGTGGGGGGGGGAGGGGGAGAGAGAGCGGCCGGCATCTTGCAGCCCGAGGGCAAAGAAGGGGGGGGGCGGGTTGGTTGCGGCTTCGGGGCGAACCTGCTCGAATAAAGTAATGGCAGGGGGGCAGGGAAGCCCTTCTACGCATCATGGAGCGCAAGATGCACACTTTGAATGGCGACGCGCATCCACTTGGCGGGGGGGGGCGACTGGCCACCTCGATTATTTTATTGGGGGCGAGGAGGCGATGGACTTCGTCCCCTTGGAGTTCGTCCCTACGGTGTTTTTATATATACATATATATTTGCGGGGGGGGTGTCTCTTTTTTCTCGGTAACCTGGCGGTTTCCTTCTCCTGAGGGAGGTCGCCGCGGTTCCGTCAGCTGCCGGCTCGGCGGCCTCTCCTCCGGGCGAGGCGAAGAAATTGTGTTTGTGTGTGTGTGTGTTGTGTTGAGGGGAGGAGAAGAGAGAATCGAGGGGTTCAGAGGAGGAGTTGGGGGCGTTGTTTTATTTATTTATTTGCTTGCTTCCTTACTGAGGCGAGGGCGACGGCGCTCTGCCGCTTCGCCCTAGCCGTGTGTGGCGGCGGCGGCTGCCGGGATCCGGGGCGGGGGAGGCGGCCGCCCGGTTCCCTGAGGAGAGAAGCGCTTCTTTCGGGGGCGGAGAGGCGGCTTCCTTCGCTGGTTCCTTTGGCGCGAGGGCGGCTCCGCCTTCCGGAGGTCGGGGGCGGGCAGCGCCGTCCCGCGTTTTCTGGGGCCGGGGCCCTTTCCCCCCCCTCCCCGCTAGGGGCGCGTGGGGCGCCGAGGAGCGGCTGCCTTGGCTTGTTTCCGGGGTGTGTGTGTGTGAGTGTGTATCCGTGTATGTGTAGTCAGCTGTGGGGAGTTTTTTTTGGGTGGGGGCGCAGACTGAGGCGCTGCTCCTTTTTCTCTTTTCTGACCCCCCTCCCCGTCTTCTCCCGGGACGGTCGCGGCTGCGCAGGCGCCATCTTGGGAGCGATCAGGTGTGTTGTGGGGGGGGGGTTGTGTTTGTGTTGCCCCCAAGGAGGCGAGAAGGGGGCATCTTGGAGGGGAAATGCTAGTAAATGCCGGTCACGCATAAGCGGGGGGGGGGCGCGGAGATGAGCCGGCTTGGTTTCTCCTTCACCCCTAACCCCATGTGTTACAAATCACTTATTCTCTTTCTCCATTGCCCCCCTCCCAAAAATAGAGGGGGGGACCCAACTACATACCATAAGGTAAAGGTAAAAAAGGATATACATACCATATCGACTTTCCCTAACGCTTTTTGGAGGGCGTGCTATGGCACAGCTTGCTGATTTCCTTAAGCACCCTGCGTTGGCTATTAGTTTTACTTTGAGTGTGTGTGTGTGTGTGTGTGTGTGTGTGTGTGTGTGTGTGAACCTGCGAGATTGAGGTGCAGGGCAGAGGAAGTAAATTGCAGGCTGATGTGTAGCTCAAGGGTGCAGACTTGGTCTTGGCTACCCTGGTGCTTCTCCTGACCCTTCTTGAAAAGGGGGAAGGTCTCCTTGCTCTCAAAAGGAAAAGTTGCTCCGTGGTTCCCAGCCTCTTCTTAGTGTTTTGACACAGAGTAAATCTTTCAGCTCTTGAGTTTAGTCTTCGCCAGAGTTATTGTTGTTGTTTAGCCTGAATTGTTGTTGTTGTTTCTTCTTCTGAATGGTGATTTGTTGTTGCTTGTGGGCATGGAGGGAGGAGGAGAAGGAATTGTGCCTTGTCTATTATTCAAGATGAAGAACCATTTGAGAAGGGGTGCTCTCCATCCTTGCATTGAATCCAGTTGTGGAAATTTGCCAGTCCTAATTTTTTGCCTGACTGTTGTAGGGCTTCTACCCATCCCCACAGCTGTTTGTGGGAAATACTGTTTGCCAGCTCAGTGCTGCTGTTCATAACCTTGGGGTGTCAGTTGTGGAGAGGCAGTCTTTTAAGGAGCAGGCCTCTCCTCTTGAGTGTCTGCCATGGCATACTTGGAAATGGGGGAGGACATCAAAAGCTTATTCCCAGCTCCCTTGTTGTGGCTGGAATTTGATAATCTGTTGCTTCCCTTTGTCTGCAGGGGGAGACTTCATCTTGTTTTGCTTGCTCTGATAGGAGATCCACAGGGAAATATATTCACATTTCCACACTATTATTACCAAGTAGCAGGAGAGAGGTCCTTAGTTGCTTTCTCTTGAGATCTGTCTGCTGCTGTTCTGAAATCCTACAGGTGGAACCTGCTGTGCTTCTCTTGGGTTTTAAATAAAGAGGTCTGAATGAAAAAAAAGTCTTTTATTTCTGTGGCATCCCACCAGATGTCAAGGAAATAAGCAACTATCCTACTTTTAAAAGACATCTGAAGGCAGCACTGTGTAGGGAAGATTTTGATGTTTAATGCTGTGTTGTGTTTTTAATATTTTATTGGGAGCTGCCCAGGGTGGCTGGGGAAACCCAGCCAGATGGGTGGGGTGTAAATTATTACTATTATTATTATTATGGTTGATGTTTTTGACAACTGTGTATCTTCCTTCCTATTTTGAATAAGGAGTTGGATATCCTTGTTTTAGTAGCCTTTCCCCATATGTTGTGGGGAGGCAGGCTATAGTCTTTGGGGGACTTTATGGCAGTGTACATGCAGAAGGTCTCAGGTTTAATCCTTCGCATTACCCAGAAGGGCTGGAGATACTTCTGCCTGAAACCCTAAGAGCCACTGCCAGTCATTGAATACAATACTGAACTACTCAGAGTCAGGTCGGTGGTCTGGCTGATATACCGCTGCTTCCGAGTCTACAAAGAGCTATGGGGTTTGAGTGTGGTACAGTGCTGACCAAGGTCATACTGATAAGATTGTACATCTTCGTTTGGAAGGAATAGACACTGTATGGATCAGTGGGTTTGAATGTTGTTCAGGGTTGGTTGTCAAGTATTGTTGCACCCACCTTTTGGGGTGAAGTTAGTCAAACGATTGGAAAGTTGCATTGCCTGCTGTGGCTGTAGAGACTGATGCGAGAGAGACATGTTTTATTGCAGCTAGGGCAGATGAAGGCGTCCGGTTGTGCTGCTGCAGATGCATCATATTCTTTCTTCTTTCTGTACCCGCCCCCAAACTTAATACATTATATAAGGTGCTGCTATGGTGGTAAAAAGAATCTATTTGCACTCCAGACTGCCTGCAACTAATTATGCACGACTGCTTTATTTTACTGTATGTATGTAAGGATTGAGCTCAGAGTCTGATCCATTCAACTTTATATTTTTGTAGCCTCCACAGAAAAGACAAAGAACTGTAGAAGACTTCAATCAGTTCTGCACTTTTGTGCTAGCTTATGCAGGCTACATCCCATACCCGAAGGAGGTAAGAGAACTTACATTTTAACAGTGTTGGAGCTGGCTGTCTACTTTTGTTCTCACTTTTCTGTTCTGGGTGTTGGTGACTCCCCCCCCCCAAAAAAAAAAAAAAAAAACCCAACACGACCTTCTGAAGGCCCTGAAATCTCATGTGGGTTTTCTTTTCCCTTTCTAGAATGAGCCTTGGCTCCACAGAGGCAACATGAGCCCCCAGAACAGCACAGGCAGCACTCAAGACAGTGACAGCTGGGCCTCATCTCAGTGCTGTGACTCCCATGTGCTATCAGATGATGGAGGAATCAGGAACACTACATGCAGAGGGACTGGAAACGTCCTACTGAACTCTGACATTTCCAGTGGCTTTTGTACAGGCCGACCGCTGCAAACCAAGAAGAGGAAGCAGTCAGCAAAGAAGCTCATCTTGGACCGAGAGGTGGATAAGAGGGTGATGCCAATGAACACAAAGGACATTAAGCAGGAAAGGATTGAGCCAGGTAAAGGGACACACCTAGAATCAAGGGAACTTGAATCCTGTCTCCCAAAGGAAGAGCTCCAGTCCACATCTCTGCTGGAGCAATACATAAAGCAGAAGGACTGGATCCATGGAATGCAAGCAGCTGAGAAGCCTGAGGAACAGAACTCGTGCAAAGAGGAAAGAATCAGCCCTGCCTGTTGGAACACCGTAGAGCAGAACAGTGAGGAAGAACTCAGTAGAGACGGCTCCCAAATCAGTAGTAAGTGTGCAAAAATAGTGAAGCTTTCAAAATGAAGTCAATTGAACATATGAAGCAGCTTCCCTCAGAATGGGATAAATGCACCATCAAGCCCAGTATTGTTTTCTCTGGTGCAGCAGCTCTTAAAAGGTATCAGGCAGAGGTTTTCCCATCACCTGCTACCAGAGAACCTTGTCATTGTAGCTGGAGATGCTAGTGATTTGGCTTGTGCTCTGCAATCCAGCTCTTGCTCCTCCCTATTGTCAGCTTTGTGATCCAAGTGATAAGTGTCATCCCCCCCCCTTCCCCGGTCAGTGGTCTTGTGAGGGGTTGGGCTGTTGCGGGAATGTGAGTTCAAAGACACCTTAAAGTTGGAGTGTATCACAAAGGAACTGATGAGCTGCAAGGAATTGTTTCAGGAGCTTCTGTCGCTGTTGAGTAGTAAAGGCAGGGTCTAGCATACCAGCATAAATGTGGGCACTCCTAGTCATCTGACCTCTCATTTTTCCCTCTTGCAGCTTTGTGTGAGGATTTTGCTGCTGCCTCAGACACCAAAACCGATGGTGAGTAGATCACCGTATGTTACTTCTGCTCGCTTCCAGTAGGGTTGGTGGTGGGAAGAGAGGGCTCCAGTAGTTTTTCGGAATATGTCTCTAATCTAAAAAGTCTAGTAATGTGGGTGCCATGCAAAAACTTTATGGGGTTAAAACTTTTAACACTTTGTGCTTTCTCACATGCAGAGGATGATGCCTGGGATCTCATCACTTGCTTCTGCTTAAAGCCTTTTGCTGGGAGACCTATGATCGAGTGCAATGAATGTGCCACTTGGATCCATCTCTCCTGTGCCAAGATACGTAAATCCAATGTGCCTGACATCTTCATCTGCCAACGATGCCGTGATGCAAAGCAGGAGATTCGCCGCTCAAACAGAGCCCGCACCATTCCCCGCAAGCGATTCTGTGACTGACTTTGGCTTGGGGGGTGGCTGGGTTCCCTTTGAACTTGGACTGGATCCCTATTGGCAAGACAATCAAAATGCAGGAGCCTCCCTGGGAAATAAGTGCGGGGGCCCTATGCTTCCAGAAACGTGTGTCTTATTCAAGCCTATTGCAGGTGGGTGGGGCATGCTGTTCTCTACTTGATAGGGCCTGAACTGTGCTTTTGAGATCTCAGGGTTACACTAGAGCAGCAAATGCAAAGGTGCCTGGCAGACACGTGACTGGTTTGGTGGATTCCAGTGCACAATGCACTAAGTCAGCCAGAAGCCTCTTTGACCTTGTGCAAAAAGGGCTCGGTGCCTTTCAACTATCTATGGGAAGCTGGCCTAAAGTTTGTTCTTTTGTGGTACAGTAGCTGCTCAGGCTTAAATTTTGTAAGTTTATGGCCCCAGGTTTGTTCATGGGTTTTTTGTTTCCTTTGACCCTAGATCCAATTATGTTCTGGTTAGTTGAAGCTTCTGAATCCCTTCATGAAGTTAAAGCACATGTTAGAAGAAGGCAGCTAGCTGTCTTCCTGTGTACACACTGCTTGGGAGAGAACCTTCTGCAACTGAAATGGCAGATTCCCATTCTCTGTTGGCATGAACTGCAATGCAGGGCAATTGACATTAAACTTCAGTAATGTGGTCATTGCGCCTAGTTCTAAGGAATCTGCCCTCTTCAGAAACTTAAATACACTGTGCTATTCCCAGTCAGGCTAGTCACCTGAGGTGGGTGGCAATTTTCACTTAATGTAAATATTTTATATACAATTACTTAGAAAACTTCTTGCTATACCTGCTCCATATTAAACTACCACCCTTCCCTAGACTTCCAGTTGCACTAGTGTCCAATTTGAAGGGAGTACAGGAGTTGTGGGGGAAAGACCAAAGCTGACAGCAGTAGAGGTGGTGATGAGTTTACTGCTCTAGAATCTAAAGAGATGGCAGTAGCAGAAGACTTAAGGTATGATGGTGAGCCACACTGAAGAAGCAGATTGGGTCCTGCTTTCATTTCAAGTTGCTCTCTCATTGCTGAGAATATTTCACCTTGTTGCCATAGGTGAAATGTGGGGCACGCTAAATGGTGACCTGTCTACTATGCAAACCTTTGCTTTTTTTTCTTGGGGCAATCATGCCAGCAAGCTATTGCTTGTTTTGGAGGACAGGTCTCCCTGCACTGTCTATACCAGACCACTGAACCTCTTTTATTTGACCCACGTGCCTTCTTGATCTTACACACACACCACCTTATATTTGACAATGTATGTACAACCCTATTCTCACTGTACAAGGTATTTTCATTGGCTTGTGATGGGCCTTTTCCTATGTAGGACAGACTTCTCATCAGGTTGTAGGAATTTAGGGAGCTACTCCATGAATGTCTTACTTCCCCTCTGCCCCCTCAAAGTGTTTACACTTTTATAGGTAGTCACTTTCTATTAAAGATGTAAAGTAGTGTATTGTGGTACTTTGTCCTATGCCAAGTGTTTGGAGTGCTATGTATAGAATAAAAATACTTTTTAATCAGTTATATTGCAGATATTTGACTTCATTGTAACCCAAGTGGAGTGTTTTACATAGTTACATTCTGCTAAGGTGGGGGTGGGTGACTAGAACTCAGCTGGCTTGTGCAACCTTACATGAGTGTATACAGATCAAAAGTTGGCTGATCGTTTACTTCTCTACCATGATAACGTGTTACCTACAGACTTTACATACGTATTTGTCCAGAAATGCAGTCCTATTAAACTGGATAGAGTTGTAAATTTGTTTCAAATTTATCATCTATTTTGTTTACTTAAAACACAACTTATGAATTTAACTTCTGCAGATTTTCTTAGTGCAACATCCAACATGGTGCAAGCACACGTGGTCCTCCTATTCCCCCTTTGTCTCTCTAGATCTGCTCCAGATTTTGAGGATCCTTTCCTCTTGCAGGCAGAGTTGATTATACACACCTGCATGGATTTAGAGCAAGTGCATACTAGTACAGCTAGGGCACCTGTGAGATGCAAAGACCTATTTGATCTTCAACAAGGCAGGTGTGTTTAAAGGGGCGATGTTCAAACTGACCTTGATGGTAAAAAATCCTCAGAACTTTTTGTTGTAACATTTTAAACTACAGTGGTACCTCGGGTTAAGAACTTAATTTGTTCTGGAGCTCCATTCTTAACCTGAGGTACCACTTTAGCTAATGGGGCCTCCCGTTGCTGCTGCTGCGCCACCACCACGCGATTTCTGTTCCCATCCTGAAGCAAAGTTCTTAACCTGAGGTACTATTTCTGGCTTAGCGGAGTCTGTAACCTGAAGCGTCTGTAACCCAAGGTACCACTGTATTTTAAAGGTGAAGACCAATGTGGTTTGAGTTCTGGCATTGGGTAAAAGGCTTTGTCCACAAATATATCTGGCTAAAGTACAGCTCAACTGCCAAGGCTGCCAATAAAAGCACACAATTCTCTCCCACAACTGTAATATGTCACTTTGAGGGAGAGAGAGAAAAGCCTGCTTGGTCTTAGTATGCAATCAATGTACAGGACCTTTGCTCTGCAAGATGCAAATCCATCACTAATATATTTAGTTATTGCAACTGCTGTACAAGCGCCTTTCACAGCAAAGGGTGCTTTGTTCACACTAGCACAAGGAGGCTGCTGTGACATATGGTGGTCACAGCAGAAGTATTTTTACCCCCTTCATGGAAAACTTAACAGGTCTCGGGAGGGGTCAGCAATCTTTTTTCTACTTTTTCACTAGGGGGAAATGGTTACAGGTTGTTCACTGATGACTGAAAAGGCCACCTCTTTTCATGGGGTGGTTGCCTTCCACACACACTGCTTGAAAGTACATACAGCTACAAATAAAAATTAACAAATAGCAAGGTAGCAATGCAGGTAGGAGAGCGACCTTTGTAACAAAGAAGCCATGTGCAGCTATTTCAAGAAACTAGGTAAAGGTAAAGGGATCCCTGACAGTTATGGTGGACTCTGGGGTTGTGGCGCTCATCTTGCTTTACTGGCTGAGGGAGCCGGCGTTTGTCCGCAGACAGCTTCCAGGTCATGTGGCCAGCATGACTAAGCAGCTTCTGGTGAACCAGAGCAGCACACGGAAACGCTGTTTACTTTCCAGCCGGAGCAGTACCTATTTATCTACTTGCACTTTGACATGCTTTCGAACTGCTAGGTTGGCAGGAGCAGGGACCGAGCAACAGGAGCTCACCCCATCATGGGGATTCGAACCACCGACCTTCTAATCGTCAAGGCCTAGGCTCTGTGGTTTAACCCACGGTGCCACCCGCGCCCCTGCAGAACATCCCACTGAAACAGGCCTCCACCCACCAAAATAACAGATCATGCCTGAAAGTCATGTATTTGGTGCTTTCCAGCACTACCATGGTATAAAAACATGGATCATTTTCACAGTAATCCATAGATCACCTGTGCCCACAGGTGCATTCTGTAATTTATTTTCACCCTAATGCAAGCTTCAAAGGGCAAGGGAATCAAGTTTAAATTCTACTGGAGTGAACTTTTATCCAAACTCCCAATGGAAAAACTAATGGGTGTGAGAATACACACTTTTAGGGGAGGGAAGCACAGTAAGGAGAAATGGGTAGAGAAGCAATGGGCTGCTGGTGGTCCCTACAAAGTTCGGCAAGCCTTGATAACCTGTTACTGACCAGTATAAGGAACTGTGCTCTAATCCCATTACTGCCATGGTTAACTCAGGAATAAGGCCAAGTACACTGGGTTACATGCTACATGCTTCTCCTGGGCAAACCTCTAGTGACCTTGAAAAAGCCATGCTCATGTGATGTAAAAAGGACCTGCTGGATAAGAAAAGGGCAACCAAAATGATCAAAGGGCTGGAACAACTCCCCTGTAAAGAAAGGTTGCAGCGTTTGGAACTGATAGTTTATAAAATTATACATCCCCCTAATGAGGCCGATTGTTGGAGGATCCCTAGGGAAGCCAACATGCAGAAGATGAGCTCAACAGCATTCACCCACCAAAACAAAGTCTTCTTCGGCAAGACTTGTTCTATAACCTCGATAATTTTGATAAATTTTTCACTAATCATGCTTTCCCCCAATTTATCGGAACAGTCCTTAAACTAGCCTGTAGTTTTCTGCATTGCTTTTTAACACAGCACTGCCTGCTTTCTAGTCCTCTGCTATGGAAGCCAATCATATGTTTGCTATTGTAACATGTGAAGCACTTTAAACTAGCATTTGAAACACTGCAGGAAACTAGTGCTAAATGATTCTAAGGCAAGCTTTAACAAAATGGTTTTGAACACTTAAAAAGTTTTAACTTTGAGAATGCATTACACCCCACCTGGCTCTCTCATCTCGCACCAATTTTCCAGCCACCCTGTTCCTCCTCCCATTAAGACCTCAAATCTGTTGCCCAATGCTTAGGCACCATTTACAAGGCAGGCCTGCCAAATACCAAAAATACAATTTAGAATGACCTGTTAATTGTCCCAGCTTTGTTCTCCGTGTTCAAGTTTTGCATCTACCACAAAACATCCAAAGCAAATGCATTTATTTGGACATGTGTTACATTTTGCACAGCAGAAGCTGTGATTATACAAAAGCAAAAATGTCTACAATTTAGGAGACATACACTATGCCCTATTACTGATGCTGAACAACTAAACTGGTTTTTGTTCTGAACAAAGTTGCAATTCACAAACTGAGATTTTATAAACGAAGCATTACACAATGAACATTTAGTCTTTGCTGCTGGTTCTCTAGTGGAGAAGGCCTGGATGTGCTCTCAGTCAACATGGCAACACACCCACCCAAAATAATATTTTTACATTACATGAGAAAAATGGGTACCCCCATCTTCACCATTGGTGAGCATTAGATTTACTTTTGAAGGTCTGATATTCACATTTGTTCAGAAACAGGTTCCATACAATTATTCCCAAATTAATTGGTGCATGAGCTAGATTTCTGCTCCATCTCCTGTATTCCAAGTCCTCTGGCTCTTCAAATATCCAGGTGCCCTTCTCCCCAACACCACTCAGCTTATAACTGTGAATTTCAACACCACACAGGCTGGTTTTTAGAAAAAGCAAAGCACATGTTCCAAGAAGTACTGTGAATGTCCCGTAAGAGATGTGGCTCTGTATTGTAAAAAGGAGCAGGAAATCAAAAACCAAAATACCCCAAACCCCAAGCCACAATGCTCTGGTCTCAAAAACTGTATTCCATGTTTTTCTGGTGGTTGGAAGGCAGCAAAAATAATTTCACAGAACATCCATGTCCAAGTTATATGGGAGCATGGAATCATTAAGGCAGCGGTGCAATTGCCACTTGCATGGAAAGAGCTGATGAGAAGCAAATTTGTGTGTTCCTCCTTCCACATCACCTGCTGCCATTTTATCCTGTTGTTTGGCCCAACCAAGAGAGCACAGGCAGGTGAGATAGCACGCCTGCCACCACCTTTCACAATAGGAGAAATGGCAAGCATACAGGCTTGCTGTACGCGGCATACTTAATGCAGCTTGCAGAAAGGAATGCACATGACCACAGAAGATCTGCTGTTGTCCTGCAGAGCTGATGGGCTATATGCAAGTGGAGTGTGATCGTCTGAGGAAAACAGGGTGTGCAACCAGGGGTGGAGGGTGAGTTGGTGAGTGGCAGGATGTGCTGTGTAACTATAACTATAAAGGATGCATTAAAGGCACAGAAGGGAACTTAACCACTTTGCACTGGGCATGAAACCTGAAAGGAGCATCAGTTACAAGGCACATATTTCATGGAGGGTAGGGTGCCAGACTTCTCAGCACCTTCATTCTTCCTTAGCCCAGGCGGCAGCACTTTTCTTCTCCTCCTGGCAAGGGACTACGGCCTCCACATAGAACTTCTCCAATTTTGATGTAGTTGTCTCCCAGAAAACAGGGTCGAAATCTACAGGGGCAATCGCCGTTTCTTTGTTGGTGTGGACCACCAATTCTGCCTTTGGAAGGCCAGTGACGCCCATCTGGACTTGCAACTGCGTGTAATATTGGTGGTTCTTCTTCAGAGAGTAGGAGTCGCCCACCTTCTCCAGACAGAAGCTTTTGTCCTTGCAAGCTTCTGTCACCGTCCTATCTCTGTGTTTGTAGGGACACTTGACCTCCAGAACCCCCAGCTCTTTCCCGGTATCTGCGTCTTTGATAATCCCGTCGGGGCTGGCAGCCAGCCAAGGTTTCCTTTGGTCAATGAAGAGGCCGCAATCATCCACCTTCACCGCTTTGTTAATCTTGCTGGACTTGAGGGCCTCGTACGCCTGCACCGCTTTCTTCTCGTTGCGGACGCCCCAAGACATGGCCGGGGTCTGCACGCCGGAAGAAGATTCCACCACACGCCTCAGGTACGACTGAGGAATCTCAGAGCTCTTGCCATTCACAAACTTGCTGTTGGCTATCTGGGGAGCTATGGAGGCTGTGATGCGGTTTGCACGCTGCTTGTACCATTCAGGGTTAGTGCGCTGGCCCCGGGTTCCTTTCTCTATTTCAGCAACCTTTTCAGCAGAGAGAGGGGAAGGGAAGTGGCTCGCTTTACCTTGGGCTTTGCCCTGAGTTTTGCTAGCCGCCTGTGTCGGCACTGGGCTGCAAGCAGCAGGACCTACAGAGGCTTCAGTAGCTGCAGCAGGAGACTTTCCTCCTCCTCTTGCTCCTACTGTGGGGGTCTTTGCTCTTGCTCCACGGCCGCTCTTTGTGCCTCCTTGCTCGCTGCCGGATGCGATGTGGACCTTGCCTGGTAACTTTGCCCTGTTCCTCTCGGACTTGTGGCACTGGCTGGCTTTTCAGCCGCCCCCTGTCGGCCACCATGACCCTTCGCAGCAGGAGCACTCTGAGTTCTGCTGCTGGCAGGTACCGTTCTGGATGAGGCAGAAGATCGTGGGGCTGCCGGGGCTGCTTTTGGCGCCGTGGCAGCAGGTTGAGGAGAGGGTACATTGCCAGAGGTATTCCTGGGCTTGCCCATTGCTCAAGGGAGTCACGTTCTGCGGATCTGGGAGGCTGGGAAAAGAGAGAAGCGGAGAGGGAGATTAAAAAGCTTGCAAAAAGACACCTGCCAGACAGCATATAACATATACTTTGAGGTTGAAAATCACATACATGTTGAATGGTCACTTTAAAAAGTGAAGGTTCATTATTGTTTCACAAGTTGTGTATGTCTTTAAGGGCCAGGGCAAATAACGAGACCCAGTCTTACAGCTGTGAAACATAGCAGGTGCTGCTAAGTTAATTAAGCTGTACCAGCAATTGGGTATAGTATATAAGGAGCAGCACCTAGCTCTCTCATTACCCTGGGGGGTGGGCTGGTGGTTGGGTCATGTTGGTTGTTGTTATCTTTAGTGTAAAAGGAGTTTTTGTTTTTGCTATTAAAACCTTTTTAAAGTTATTTTGAGTTCCTTGTTATGCATGGTCTCCCCAGCAAGCTCTCTGCTGTGCTGCTAAACTACTCATGGTCTCCCCAGCAAGCTCTCTGCTGTGCTATTACAAACGATGGAAGCTCACCCTGCCGCGGGGATTTGAACCGCCAACCATGCGATGGGCAAGTCCTAGGCGCTGAGGTTTTACCCACAGCGCCACCCGCGTGCCACCATAGCCAACAATACATTTCTGTAATCCTCGTGTGTCAGCCAGGTGCAAAAAATGGCACCCATTTTTGAGATGCTTGAAAATGGAGAAACTTTAGGTGCAAAATGCACCTGGTGTTCTGCTAATTTCAAACTCTGCTTCAGGTGTTTTGGAATATAACCCCAATCAGCTTCTATCAACAGGGCCAATGGTAAACATGTCAGCAAACATGTGAATCTGAATGTTGAAAACTTTAAATGATACCTGGGGGAATAGTTTATGATCAATCGTTTAAGTCAGCTTCAATTAAACCAGTCAATCAATACAAAATGTATGGATTTGGAGCACTAAGATGCTTCTCTTTAACTTCCTGTTCAATAAACTTTATTACAAAAGTGCGAGGACAAATGTTTCCAAGCAGGAAAAAACTTTCTGAAAGGCTAACACATTTTTTGTACCATGAGATTCACAGGATTTCTTACATTAACTTTTTCAGACTTAAGCACTAAGGTTCTGCCTGGCAGGTTGGAAGACTACTCTGTGGCTTAGTCAGAATTCATGATGAAACCAAATTTTGGCACACAAGATCCTTCATTTATAGCCTTCAGAACAGCAACAATTAAATTGTTTCCTCCTTCCATAGTCTGAATTCTATCATCTGTCAGGTAAGAAATGCCAGCACAAGCCTATGCCAACTTTAATCTTTAAGCCTAAAGAGAAAACCCCTAATTTGAGAATGGAATGCAGAATTCACTTGAGTTGTGAGCCAAGTTTCTCAACCATAATGAAGCCTTAAAAGTTTTATTTTGAAAAACTGTTCTCAGGCCTCTGGGTAAATATCTGGCCTCTGAGAAGATATTCTTATCCCACTAATTGGAAATGAGCTCACAAGAACCAGCACCTGCATTATCTAAAAGTATGATGTGTTCAAGGTCAGTGTGCCAACTAGGGGAAAAATTGCTTTGTGTGAAACAGCAGGATCTTAGTATCTAGAAGCTTCCTGATTAGATAGCTGGGGTCGCCCTTGTTGTTGCTGTGCTGTTTAGGATTAAAGACATATTCATTTCCTTATCTTTTGCCTCACAACTTTTGTTCTGGACATCTGCCTGGTTCCCGTTTTCCTCTGGGCTCAACGGCGGTGATGGTTTGTAGGCAAGTTTTTGTTTTGTCTTATAAATCCCAAAGATATTTCTGCAGTTTACTTGTATTCCTCACTGGTATACATGTTCTCTTTTTAATGCTACTATTTTTAAAAAATATAAAAATATACACCATCTATTTCTGTTATTTCTTTGGCTAAAGCCTTGAGTACTGAATTGAGTTCCAAACTTCTTAAATCATTACCTACTGAACAATTGTGTAGGCTCGAGGGACAGAGAGTCTGATCTTTGAGCTCTTGTCCTTTGAATCCTAAGTGATATCCAGTAAAGTTCTGGGAGTCTCCTGACCCAGACTGGTTAAGCTTAAGGAGTGGGGCAGAATTATACCTTGCAGGGCTGTTTAGATTCTGGTTATTTGGCTACTGCTAAACACAAGTTAGTCCCCAAGTTTTTGGGTGCTGGTCCTTGACAACCGCTACTTACACAGTTGGTTATCTGCTCTTCCACAGATCTTAGCTCTCATAATTTGTCCTGTTCTAGCTTGTGAATGCCTCTTGTGGTCTGAGACCCCAAGGACCCTATGAGGGCTAAGGAAGACTGATCCGGAATAATAATTGGAACAGAGTAGCTTTTTTAAGAATACAGCAGGGAGCTCTTTAGTCTGCCACAGGCCTCATTAATACACACATGCGTTTGCTCCAAAGCCTTTTCTCTCTCTTCCCCAGGGAAGGAAGATAAACCAGAAGGTATGAATATAGCTGTACGAAAGGTAACAAAATAAAACTTAACGTGTATTAATTTCAGCTGGAGAAAAAAATTAGCCTGGGGAAGAAGGTGGCAACACAACTTTCATCAATCAACTTTCAGCAAACTGGGGGTTACACATACACTTTAGACTGAGTAACACAATTTATCATAAATGCAAGCCAAATGAAGCAGAGCAAAAATATTAGCAGTCCTGTCTTGAAGGATTTCCATTAAAAACAAGGTATTTGCCTGATTGCTAGTCAACAAAGCCCCATTCTTAAAACAAAATGGTCTTTAGCCTTCTGAAAGACAAACTAGCCTGGGAGGCATCTTTAATCCCATTCCATAACAATGGTGCCATTACAAAGAAGGCCATGCTCTTCATAAATGCAGCTTCCACAGATGGTTCTCAGGGCAGGGTGCCTTCAGGTGACTTTATTATGTGGGGGCACTTACGGGAGGGGCCAAAAATGAAATTCAGCACTTTCAATTGTTCACATACTGGTTTGAACAAATAGTGTTCCAATTGCAGTCTGTGAGCTTCTGAGTTAAACAGAACCTTTTCTCTGGGTGCATGCTCAAGAAAACTAGAAGGGTTGGTGGTGAAGAAATAAGTTTATGGTGGATAGATTGGAGGGGCGGCTGTAGGCTGTCATACAACAGCTGCTGAATAGGAGTTATTCTACAATATTGTTAAAGGTGAAGGAGGCCCTGTCCTTTCTTTGCCTCTGGCTAATGGTATTTCTTGCCCAAACAAAAGTTGTGCACTTTCTACAAATGAATCTTTGTACATTATCCAGTGAACAAGGCAATAAATCAATGAAACAAAATGAAGGCAGGTAGCTTGGGGACATTTGCAGCACAATCCTTTTGTGTGTTTACTCAGAGGCAAATTCAATGGGGCTTACTCCCCAGTGCCCATTCCACGGTGCTAAGTACAGGCAATGTGAGGTTTCAAGTTACACAGTGTCTCCTCTCCCAACAAAACTAAAGGGGGGGAGAGAGAGAGAGCATTCACTATAAAATGCACCCTTATATTCTGTGCTCAACAAAACACAAACATTTCTCATACGGTGGGAGGAGGGAAGCAGAGATTATGAGAGATAAAGGATTTTTTTCTTTTTGTTAGCAAAACTGGAGATTGATTTCAAAACCAGAGCTCCCTTGGAAGCCAGATCGAAGATTTGGTGCACGCTGCTTTACCGCTTCTCTAGCAATCCACTTTGTTCATTCATATTCCACTCACATTGCCTAGACTCTGAGCAACCACATAAAATAATTAAGAGTTGCATCCAAATTTAGCCATAACCCCCGAAAAACTTGATGCACACGTTACTTTAAATATACAGTGGTACCTCGGGTTACATATGCTTCAGGTTACAGACTCCACTAACCCAGAAATAGTACCTCGGGTTAAGAACTTTGCTTCAGGATGAGAACAGAAATCGTGCGGCAGCGGCACAGCAGCAGCGGGAGGCCCCATTAGCTAAAGTGGGGCTTCAGGTTAGAACAGTTTCAGGTTAAGAACGGACCTCCGGAACGAATTAAGTATGTAACCAGAGGTACCACTGTTGGGAAGGTTTGACATAGCAGCCCTTTTTATGCTGTAGACTTGCCTATGTTAGCTGCAATCTTAAACCTACTTAATTGCAAGTAGACACACACACACACACACAACCAAAACACAGAGAACGTCAGATATCATCACTTACTGCACCACAGGAATACACAAGCCGCAAACAGATCCTGAAAGGAAAACAGCATGCATTCACGGAGCAGTAAGTAAAAACCCAAAGGGTGGGATCTGGGAGAAGGAAACTGAATTCGAAACTGCTCTCAGTTCCTGAATTATCACAGTGACTAAGCAAGCCGATGAGGCATGTCAGGGCACAACACTTTTGCTCTTTGTTCTGGCAGCATGCAAGCAAAGAGAAGCAAATCGCCATTTACACCTTTCTTAAAGTTTACACAGATAGCACATCTAGCAGAGGAGGCACGGCTGAAAGGCAACATCTGATGAAAGTCAAAATTCCATTAGTAAATGGAAGGAAGGGAAAAGATCTAGAAGTTTGAGGCAAGAGCAGCTTTGCTGGAGCAGACAGTCTTCTCTATCAAGTCCAGTAATCTGTTTACCACACTGGCCAATCAGATGCCTTCTGAGAAGACAGAAAGGCAAAAGCATTAGGGGGCATACTACCCCTGAACATGGAGGCTCCATTTAGTCGTCATCATCTTCTTCTGCGATCACAATCGCAGTAAAGAAACTTATCCTCCATCAGTTTGTCTAATCTTCCCACCCACCTTTCTAAGCTGGCCATCATCGCATCCTGAGGAAGTGAGTTCCACTGGAGCATTAGGCTGTATGACAAACCTTGGTTGGTTTTTCTGAATCAGATGCTAATGTTGTAAGAATTTCAAGGTCTTAGATATATATTAAATGTTCATAAATGCACCAAGCAAACACGTACATAAATATATAAACCACAGGTCTGAAGCAACACAGGAAGACAGTCCTGAAACCATTTTAATTCCCAAACTGACCAAATGTTTCTCTGCAAGGGGGGCGGAAATGAAAAAAAAAACCTTCCCATTGTCTCAGGAATTAAGTAATTACCATTTCAAAGGAAGGGCCAGACTACCAGAAAAGGCAATCAGATAAGGCATTATCAGATAACCTGGCAGACAGGAAAAACAACAGCATTCAAATTTCTATTGTAGACTGCCTTTTCTGTGATATAAGTATGATGTTTGTGGGGGGTGGTCTTGGGTTACACCCCTTCTGGAGCTCCATGGCAGGGAATTTCAAAATAGATACAATAAGGCCTTGCGCGCCATTGCTCGAGGTCCTCCTCCTCTCTCCTACGTGTGAGGGGAGCACCCTGTTGCAACAGTTTAATAAAGATCAGGCTTACTAGCTGCTTTGTTTCTCAATACTGTATTCTCTGGTTGGCCTCTGTTCTTTTCTCCTACCAATAGGGAACTCACGTAAGGGCTCTATATGGGCTCTTGGATACCCCATAAGGGATAAAGGACAGATTTTGTTTACAACACTAATCAACTTCATAGGGAGACTCCTAGGTTTTCTTTTTAAAAAAAACCAACCACACGCCCCCCCTTCTGTCCACCATGAATTAATTTTATAATTAATTTTATAAAACACTATTATATCACTAACCATACTCAACTCTTCATTTTTCTTACCAAAAGAAGTAACAAGCAAGCATTTCCTGTACGGCACACAGACCAGCCCTGATATTTGGGCTGCTATTTTCTGCAAATTCTCCAGATCTAAAATATCCTTAAAGATAGGGAGGGTGCCAAACTATACACAATACTACAAATACAGTCATTCTTTAAAATTATTTTATTAGACTATTACTACATGTGACCAAAGCACACAGCTGAAATTCTTTGAGCTGAGTCACTCCCCACAACCCTATTAAGCTCCAAAATTCCAGAACATTGCAGGAAAAAGAGCAAAGTAATCCAATTTATTTATTAGCTAAAACAAGGATTCCCAAACTGTAGAGTACTAGTGGTCTGCAAGCCTCAATATTGATACTGATTTTAATTGCATTTTTATCACTTCTTTTCCAATATTCATGCTGTATTTTATTGTATTGATCTGAATTCTACGGAATACAAATTGCAATAGAATAAAAACACATTAAAATAAATAAAAGCAGTAATAATGCAATTAAAAAATCAAGCTGCATCTGGCACAGCACATTACAAATGCCCACAACTAGAAAAAAAAAGCCATTTAAGTGATGTGCCATGGCTACCAGCAATTTTGAAGTGGTCTGTTGCAGAAGTTTGGGAGCCACTGAGCGAAAGCACTTTCATGGCGTACAATGATGTGTGCCTTAGGAAAGCAGAGTTATGAATGGGAGAGCCTACACCAAGACCACCAGAGAAGTACGTTGGGATTAATCTGTTAAATCCCAATGAGTGTTTCAACTGAAGAAAGAGAATTGAATTTTACAGTCGAACATTACCTTATTTCATTACCCCCTGTTTTTTGTTTAATTTGGTTTTAGTTTTACTTCAGTCACAGCATTTCTGATGGAACCAGTGCATGTGTACGAGTAGGAAAATATCTGGACAGGAAGACATCATTGCCTTTAAAAATAATTACAGGACATGATATCCATGAAGTGATAAAAACTGAATATTCCTTCTATTAGCCTGGCTTTTTGCTGGTGAATTGCTATTAATCAATACAATAAGTTCACATCCTTTAAAGGTAAAGGGACCCCTGACATTTAGGTGTGATGCGATCTGGGGTTGTGGCCTCATCTGCTTTACTGGCTGAGGGAGCCCGGCAACTAGCGCCGGCATTCTGACAAGCCATGGGGCCAGAGCTAGCGCACTTGGAAAAAACGCCGTTTACCTTTCCTGCCGGTAGGGACCTATTTATCTACTTGCATTACACGTGCTTTGAACTGCTAGGTTGGCAGGAGCAGGGACCACGCAACGGGCGCCACCCCGCGCGGGATTCGAAACCGCCACCTTCTTGATCAGCAAGCCATAGGCTCTGTGGTCTTAACCCAACAGTGGCACCGCGGTCCTCTGCCCTTTAAAAAGGATGCGTCACATCCTTTAAGGCTTTGTGCAAAAAACTTAACGCCTCCGCAAGGCAAACTGAAACTTCAGTGATCAAAGACCAAGTCTGATACAACACCATTTTGAATTTTCTATTTCCCCCCAAATGGCTGAATTGTAAGTCAGATGTCACACAAACCATATATAGTGTTTCTATTGTAAATATATAGGGTATATCATCCACAGACTGGCATCAAGACTGAAACTCTGCAATTAACTTCGCAGTGCTGTATCCTTATATGCTAAAGAGACAATGGCAGATAAATAGATTTCAATTGAAGGCCACTGTGAAATCCAGAATACTCTTTCAAAGAGTTTCCCTCTCTTTTTAAAGTAGTTTTCGTTTCTTGTCTGGGACCGGGTAAAACTATTGTAGCAGAAATCTCAGCAGCTATTAATTGGCTTTATACCGCACATAGAGAGTAACCAAGCTTGCGGTGATGTACTCCAGCTGAAAATTTTGGCCATGTCATTTTCCACGTTCCATCCTTTCCATTAAGAGAGAAGAAATCCACTTGTTGCCTGAACGACAAACTTCAGCTTTGCCCCTGTAACCTAACAGCAACTCCTTCTTTAGCCACCTACTGGCATTGCATTTTTATCACCCCTGCAAGTCTGGCCTGCTCTATTCATAGAGACACCCTGCTAACTTAGGAAATGAGCTGAAGAGCAACCACCTTGTTTTACATAGGCCAATTGAAACAGCTGTCACATGGTAACAACTTCCAGGCATGGCGACCTGTAAAACAAACTCCTAACCTGTGACCTAGAGGTGAAGGGTCTGGTATCCAATTACCTAGTCCTGGAGTGACCTAGGCAGTTCCCCTAATGACCAAAATCTCCAAAGGCAAGAAAACTAAAACGATGCCGCTGCCTTTCAGGCTGCTTTTATATATGCCACTGAAAAAGAAAAGCTATTAAACACACGAAAAATTTTATTACTGGCATATTCATTTCAGAAAAACCCAGGCCTAGGTTTGCCACAGTAAATTTCTCCTCCTTTTACCATTTGGCTATCTGGTCTACAATGCGTGGCAAAAAAGAAGAGGCGAGGGAACAAACATCCCTTCATTTCTTCATTTATTCTTCGGCACAACTGACGTTCAAAAAGAAAGAGGCTTTTACGGACATTTGCATAGAGCGTCGAAAATCTGTAGGTAAAATAATTCCTCACCTTAAATATTATTAATATAAAATATAAATTATTTATAGGGAGCAGGCCTGAGAGGCAAAAGCTGTGGTGACAAAATGACCAGTAAAATCGGGAAGTTCCCTGTTTGACTTTTCTCTTCTGTTAATGAACTTGCTAGAGCTAAATATCTCGTCAGTTTCCTCACTCGCCACCCTTCAAAATATGGGGATAATCGTCACAGACCAACCTTATGAAGATGCTGTTTTTAAACACTGAAAAGAAATAACCGTTTGTACTTAGGAATTGAGACCATGCCACAGGACTTGGTGCTCTTCCCACGCCAAGCCATGCTCTCACAGGAGCGAATTCCTCACCCCAGCCATGAGTTTCTGTGCATGACGCTGGTAGTAACAGGGCTTCCCTCAACCTTGGACCACTGCATGTTTTGGCCTACAACTCCCATAAATCCCTAAGCTAGCAGGACGCAGTGGTCAGGGGTGAATAGGAATTGTAGTCTCCATAAACAATCTGCAAGGGCGAGGTTTCAAGGAAGCCTGTGGGTTAGATACATTCCTCATTGAACTTTCCTGGGACTTCCTGAGTAGATGCAAAGAAGTTGGCACACTGGAGTTTATTAAGTCTGCAAATCCTAGAAACCCATTTACTAAAGGAGTAAGCACACTGAACTTAAGTGGACCTGTTAAGTAAGCTCGTGCTGTGGTGGTGCTGGCTGCTTAATCTGTCAGTAATGTGGACGGTGGCGCTGTGGGTTTAGAACCAACTGAGCTAGGATTTCGGACTTGCCTGATAGAAGGATTGGAGTGGTTTTGAATGCCCCGCGCGGGGTGCGTCTCCCGTCGTTCGGAGTCCGCAGCGCCTGCACTAGCAGTTCGAAAGCAGCCCCGGGTGCAAGTAGATAAATAGGGACCCGCTTCGCGGAGGTAAACGGCGTTTTCGTGTGCTGGCTGCTCTGGTCGCCAGAAGCGCTTAGTCTGCTGGCCCATAACTCTGGAAAGCTGTACGCCGCTCCTCGTCAATAAAGCGGACTGAGCGCCGCAACCCCAGGAGTCGGCCACACTGGCACCTAATGGGTTAGGGGTCCCCTTACCTTTTACCTTTTCCACTGAACAAGGCTATGAGACTAGGATCCAAAGAAGTTAACGGTGCCAACTTTAGATATTAAGAGCCAGTGTGGTGTAGCGGTTAAGAAGTGATTAGACTCGTAATCTGGTGAACCGGGGTTCACGTCTTCTGGGCTCCTCCCAATGCAGGGCCTGCTGGGTGAACCTTAGGGGCCCAGGCTCCCACACCTTGGCTCTCTGACATCGGCTCGTATCAGCGCCCATCCACCTCACAGAGTGTTTGTTGTTCGGGGAGCGAAGGGAAAAGGGGTCAGAATCACGGTAGGCCAGCCGCGTTTGAGGGACTGTCCTTTGGAGTAGATGAATTATATTTATTTTCGGGAACTGATTCAAATCCAAACTACTACTACTCTCGTGGTCGACCTCCTCCAATGCCATAGTCCTCCTCCCTCCTCGGCTCCCTCCATCCTGGAACCTATCCCTTCCTGCCTTCTTCTTCTCCCTTCGTTCCGCATTGCCTTCAAGCATGGCAAGGGTTATGGGCTGCAATTGAAAACCATAAGCCAACTCAATTTTCATATTGTGTATTCAACAGAGTAGGCTCTGAAGATGGGAGCCTTTTAAATTATTTTTACTGAAAAAGTTTTCTTTGCCTCTCATAGACAATTAAGACACCACGCATATTTCTGTATTAGTTGGTGCATATAGAGTTGTGTCAGGTTTATATATGTCGTCTGTTCTGCTCACTATTTTAATCTTCTCTCAAATAACTCTTTTACATCCGAGAAGTTGGCAGCCTAGACTGTAGGTTAGTTCTGTAAATAAACTACTTAAATGAATATTAACTCCTGCTCAACTTTGCGCAAGTGGCACGTATGGTTGATGGTTTGTGTGAGAGTGGGAGCCCTCGGTGTCGCCTTCGGCAACGATCTCTCCAGTAGCTTTTGATATCATCAGAGACCATGGTTTATTACTCAGAGGCAACTTGGGTGTGGTGAATATTTGCGAACTCACTTTTGTCCAGTGGCTCTGATCCTATCTTGCACGAGTCAGTTTTCAGATGAACACTTGAGTGGGGTTGTCTTATACAACCCCCATCGTCACCCTCGGACGGTGGCAGTTGCACCCACAGGTGGCGGTGACACAAGGGCACACTTAATCCCGGTGATCCAGTGCTATTCGTTCAGATCTGTGGATATACAACTACGTTGGATAATCCGATACCAATTAAGATAGTGACGTCCGGGCTAGAACCTGTCTTACCACTTTTTCTTGACTTCATTCTGATTCGATCAGTTGTAAGCCACTTTAGGTCCAGCTGTCTGAAGGCTTTTTAAACCCACAGCGCCACCCGCGTCAAGTAGATAAATAGGTACCACTCCAGCGGGAAGGTAAACAGCATTTCTGTGTGCTGCTCTCTTTTCGCCAGAAGCGGCTTAGTCATTCTGGCCACATGACCCAGAAAAACTGTCCATGGACAAATGTCGGCTCCCTCGGCCAGTAAAGCGAGATGAGCTCCGCAACCCCCAAGTCGTTTGGAACTGGACTTAACTGTCAGGGGTCCTTTACCTTTACCTTTAATTTATAAAAGGGCATGGAAAGAGCCGAGCTTCCACAATCTTGATGCTGTTCCATTCCAGAGCTGCAGTGGATTTGAACTTTCAACTTTGCGCATTGCAACCTTCCCTTAACCAAAGGCCACAGGTAGTCTTTGCTCTCTTCACTTCCAACTTCATCGGCGTTTGCTTCAGCCGCTCCTTGCACTACCAGTTCTACGTCTGGTATTTCCACACTCTGCCCTACTTGCTCTGGTGCACGCCTCCCAAGAAGCTTGCTCATCTGCTAAAGTGCGTACTGGCAGGGCGGGGGGGAGGGAGACGAGTCAAGGGGACTCAGGGTCATGCCAGCTATATGCCTATTTTCTCTGTGCAATCAGATCCATGTAGTTTGTAGGAACTGCATTGCAATTTTACAGAATTTACAGCATACATGCCTGTGATTCCAGCACATGCTCACTTGATCATGATTGCAAAGAGAACATCAAAACAAGCGAGGGGGGACTAGTGGGAGTTAAGCAATGTGCCGTAAATTTACATTTCAAATAATTTGCACATCTTAGACACCAAAAAAAATCTGGATGAAGAGGGAAGCTGCCACGTGGTGCCTGGAATAAAGACATTTTAAAAAATAGCTCAGCTTGCTGCAGAATTTTGATGGATTAGGGGTGAAGCAGGGAGTTCAGCTTTCCACCTCCACTTATGAAAACCTTGATGCAGGTGCCACTGTAACATAATTCATGTAGGAATCTAATCAAAACTTTTTATAAAAAGGCCCGTATATTTAGGGGGAGGTTCAGAACTTTTTATTGGCACATCTATTAGTTTTAAGAATGTATAAACAGTTTCCTAATCAATGTTTTCCAAAGCAGAATGCAGAATGTGTACACAAATCCGAAAAACAAACTTTGAAATCATTGAATTATCCAAACTCTGTATACATTATAAAATGGCCAAGTCACACTTCAGAGAAGTCTGTCTTAAAAAGAAAGTTTTCAATAGCTACCTATATTTCAGTTGGATGCCGGTTCCAGAAGGCTGGAGCTGCAGCTTTAAAGGCCTGATATATTTAGTGATATCAGGTGTACTTCTGGGGCATACAGAACTCTTAATGATGCCCTGTGAGGAGAATACTTGCCAGAGAGGAGCATGGGGGCAAGGCTTAAGTTTCTCAAATCTCCTAGCCCTAACTTGTATCACTTTAAATGCTAGAAGTGAAACTTTTAACTGAGCCACATAACGTATTAGAATCATAGAATCATAGAGTTGGAATAGACCACAAGGGCCATCGAGTCCAACCCCCTGCCAAGCAGGAAACACGATCAGAGCACTCCTGACATATGGTTGTCAAGCCTCTGCTTAAAGACCTCCAAAGAAGGAGACTCCACCACACTCCTTGGCAGCAAATTCCACTGTCAAACAGCTCTTACTGTCAGGAAGTTCTTCCTGATGTTTAGGTGGAATCTTCTTTCTTGTAGTTTGGATCCATTGCTCCGTGTCCGCTTCTCTGGAGCAGCAGAAAAACCTTTCTCCCTCCTCTATATGACATCCTTTTATATATTTGAACATGGCTATCATATCACCCCTTAACCTCCTCTTCTCCAGGCTAAACATGCCCAGCTCCCTTAGCCGTTCCTCATAAGGCATCGTTTCCAGGCCTTTGACCATTTTGGTTGCCCTCCTCTGGACACGTTCCAGTTTGGCAGCCAAATGCAGTTTCTTAGCAGAGGTGTTATATATTGTTGGGGTGCCCCAGCCAATAGCCTAGCTGCATTATTGTAAGCTAGCTGCAGTTTCTGGATTGCTCAAGAGAAGCCCCACATAGAGTGCACTGCAGTAATCCCGTCTTGAGAGTTCCTGATGCCTGGATCACAATAGTCATAGCTGTCTCGCCAGATGAAGCTGATAAAAGGTGCTCTCAGACACTGAGGTTACCTGTGCCTCCAGCGACATATATGGATCTAGGAGTACCTTTGCTGAACCAGAACTGAGGGCAGGGTGGGGGGTGGCAAAGAAGTGAGTGCTAAGTTCAAGATCCTGGTTCTGGTGTAGAAAGCCCTCTACATTGTGGTACCAGGATACCTGAAAGATCATCTCATTTCTTACATACACAATTGATCACTGCTCTGCAGGTGAGGGACTCCCACAAATAGCCTCTTATCAGGTCTGTTCTGCACAATAGCTGAATTGGGCTTTTAGCATTGTGGCACCTCCCCTTTGGAATGCCTTCCCCTTGAATATTGGGTAACATCTCTGTTGTTGTTTTTATGGCGCCTACTGAAGACCTTCCTCTTTCAACGAGCCTTTTAAGTTGAGCTCTTTCCGAGTCTGAATCTGTGCTGGAATAGTTTTAAATATGTTTTGTATTGTTTTATCTCGTTCGCTGCCCTGGGCTCCTTTGGGAGGAAAGACGGGATAGAAACGTAATAAACAAACAAACAAACAATTTTTAAGAGTAAAAGTGAGGGAAGGAGAAAAACCCACTCCTCCTGCTATGACAGCCTTATGTGACTTCTTGAACAATGTCCTATTTGTTTTTCCCTCTCCCTTCAGGGTGCTCATTCTAGGTTTGATCGAGCTTTCTTGGAACACGTACCCGTCAACAGTTTACAGCTCCGCTGCCCTCCATGTTTGCCACGCCATCATCCTTCTGCAGCTGTGGTATGGGACGGAGCCCTCCATGGCCCCCCAGGAAGTAAAGAAACAGCCTTTGAAAAAGGCTGAGTGAAAACTGCACAAGAGGAGCTTCCCACAATGAGAGCATGAACAAGATGGTCCAGGCCATGGATGTTGCTCTGGGTCAGATGCTGATGGACCACTTCCATTTCCCTCCTGGGAGACCTCTTGCTCAAGTGTAGGCACTGCCTCCTAGCCCCAGAAGGGGGGTGGTGTGTGGATGGGAAAGAGTTACAATCTGCATACCTGCTGGTGGTAATGTGGAACAGCTTAAATAAAATCAGCCAGGGCTTGGCGTGAGGCCTCTTGCCTCCGTATTTTGACTTTTGTCTCGTGGCTGCACTTCATTTGCTTTTAAAGCAAGCTTCTTGGCCTTTTAAACGTGGATAACATTTGAGAACAGGTGGACATAAGGTTGTATCCAACACCGTCCCATTAGTGCAAGGACTTCCGCTCGCGCAATGGAAACTGCCCCTCCCTCTGCTCCCCCCCATGCACCCACTAAAGCTGTTCTGTAGATTTTCCCCAACTCTCCTGAGCAAATTAGCGGGCAAGGGGTGCACAGAGACAGGAGAGGGAGGGGAAGTTCGGTTCTGCAAGTGGATATCTGTGCACCAACGGGATGACTTCATCTGATACAACCCTAAGTAGCACAGTCTTGGTACGGGGGTGAGCTGTGAGCAGGAATAGGAGTGTTGCTTTTTACTGGGAATAAGCTAATTTTCTGCTGTGGTGGAAGGACAGCCTTTCCCACTCATTTCAGCAGTCAAGGCTGTGCAAAACAGGCTTGCGATAACACTCCCTGTGGGGGACAGCACACCTCTCTCTCCCCTTTTTGGACATAATCAGGCCAACCCAATAGACCAGGGTAATCAAGAGACTAGCCCTGGCTCTCTATGGGAACTCAAGTGTCAGTAATTTTGGAGGTATCTGGAAAAAGCATTGCTGTTGTGGACACAGAGTCACCCAAAGACCTGGGCAATGAAAGAACACGCTGCTGCTCTAGACTCTGATCGCATCTCTTTATTGGCACCCGCAACCAACGGCCTGGCCTGCTCACTACTCCTTCACACGTTGTTTGGGTTGTAACACAGCATGTTCAGCTTGATATTCTCATCCCAGTGGCGGAGCAGTAGGAAGAGTTGACGTGCTGCCCCTTTGAGAGCGGCGACATCCACACCTTCTGGCAGCTGCTGTGCCCGCAGCCAGGAATCGGCCTTGGCTGCCAGCAACTCCCACTCCACAAAGAACCCGGCACAGCGGTGCTCCAGCCAGGCCAAAGCCACAGCTGTGGCCCAGCTCATGCTCTCCAGGTCCCCTTCCTCTGCATCTGGGCACATCTCCTGCAGGCTGATGCTCACTTCAGAGGCATCCGGCGAATGGTCGCAGGCGTCGGTCTCGGAGCCACGCCCGCTGTCTGCCTGTGCCCACACGGCAGCGCTCAGCACATCTGAGCAGGTGCTGTGTGAGTGTGGCGATCCTGGCTCCACCGCTCCCTCCTTGCTCATTCCAACTACTTCACCGCCATCCGGGGAAACCTGGTTTGCTGTTAGCCTTGGGCTGGCCTTGGCTATGAGTGCCCAAGGGGAGGTGCTGGAGGCAGGGCTGAGGCTGGCACGGTGGGAGGCGTAGGGAGAGGCCCGGCGCAAGCGGTCCAGTGGGATCTGAACGACCTCCGAGAAACAGTCGGTCAGCTGGAACATGCCGGGGGCCTGCTGCAGCCGCACCTGTTACAAGGGAGAAGTTGGATGTGCATTTAAGCCAACCCTTAACAGTTCAGTGGGAAGTGCTTCTGTGCAAGTTCAAAGCTGTTTTGCAACTCCCTTTCATTTGAGAAGGCTTGTGCAGCAGAGATTTTTATGGGTTGTGCCAAGGCTAGGGAACCTTTAGCCCTCCAGATACTGCTGGACTACAACTCCCATCATCCCTGATCATACACACTGCTGGCTGAGGGCGATGGGAATTGTAGTTGGGAACTACATACTCTTCTGGTTCATTCAGAACAGTCTTATTTGTTCTATCATAGCAATGATTTTATCTGTTATATAATTGCATATTAAACTGTTGAAACCTGCCCTGGGGCCTTATAGTGAAGGGCAGGGAAGAAACCTTATAAATATAATTAAAAGTCCAGCAGAAATCACATAAGATGGGCAACCAATGTGGGATAAAATGATGCTGCAGTGATCTAGGCAGTGGAAATGGAGAGGGGAAGAGAGGCTTACCAGTGGGAGATAGTCCTGAATGGCACTGTCACAAGAGGAGAGTTCGCTTTCAGGGGTCAGACACTGGGGACGCAGTGCCAGGCCTTGACCCCGTCGCCGGCTGATGCTGAATCTGCAGAGACCAGAGTCACCCAGGTGAAATGTCATGTGATGTCACCAGTTTGTTCGATCAGGCTAGGGACTCTTATAGTGCAGCCTTCTGTTTCTTACAGTGGCCAAGCAAAGCTGGATGGGCCAAGCAAAGCATCTGGTATACTGCCTCCATTCATAGGGGTAGTTCTCAATGGCTCTTAACCTTGATAAGACTGGGTCCTGCATGCACTGAGAAAGATGGACTGCAGGCCAGCTTCCTCTAGCCCATGCCAGGTTAACTGTAGCAGAGTACAAAACTGTCCTTTTTGGTGGAGCCTTCCACCCTCCCGTGTGGGGCTCTATATATAATGGAGGTGCTCAAGCATGTTTATATTAGCAGGTACAGGGTGGGTTGGAGGGTGTGGTTTTCCTCTCTAGGAAGGATTATCTTTTGAAGCTTTAACAGGCTTCAAATGTGTTGTAAAACCCCAAATGCTGGGTGGAAGACAATAACATTACTCATAGAAAATAGAGCTTCAGCATCTCTGTTGCTCCACAAAGATCTAGTAGCGGAAGCAACTGTGTCTTCTGTCATGATCCTTCCCTGCTCTTTCCACCTTATCGAAGACCACAAAACGCTCTGGACTGGGTCTTTCTCAGTTACGTATTTGTACAGCACCTAGTATGTAGATGGTGCTAATATTTTAGACGATAAGGGAGAGTTTCCAGAGCTAACTCAGCTGGGAACTTGTAGAGAATACCTACAGTGAATTCTCTGTTGATCCTAAAAAAGATGATAAACTCTTAAGGATTACAATTGGTGTTGCATGATATTGCGAACACTCTCAGAATGGTTGGTCAAAAGAACGACCTTCCTGCAAAATAGCCTGTTGCATCTCCCAGCCTTAGAAGACTCACCTGGAGCCCACAAAGTTCTCCATTGATTTCTGGGAGCCCACAGAGACAGGAGAGGGACTGGAATCGACACCTAGACCAGAAAGGAAGCAACTGGTTAGGAGCTGCAAAATAGCAAACAGAGATGGAGACCAGTGGTGCCCATGGGGACTGGTGGGGGTGGAAGGCATGGTGACTGAGAGAATGTGGAGCCACGGCCAATGCCAGGCAAAGCCAGCCAGTTCTAGGTTTGTCCAAATCCTCCTTCTGAGTTTTAGTACAAGGCCAACACTGACTCGAAAGAAGGAAGTTGACAGCCAGTGCTCTAGACTGTAAGTCAGAAGTCAGGCAGGGGACTGGTTGAGGGCAGGCTGAGGTTGGTGTGGCAGTGCCCTATTTGTTCCAATAGACCAGCCTTCACTGATTGAGACCACACAGCTTTACTTCCACAGGGCTGGCTATGGTAGCTGCAGCTTTACTGGCAGGGCTGCATCTTAATGCCATTTGCTTAGGGTCTCCCAGTTGATGCACAGCAAAGCTCTTTATTCTCTCCCTATAGCAAAAGCCAAATAAGTTACAGAAGGAAAGCAAAAGTACACAGAGCACAAACCCCACTTTTAGTGCTGTAGAACTTGATTTTGCCAATGTGGTGCAGTGGTTAGAGAGTTCGACTAGGACTTGGGAGATCAGGGTTCAAGTCCTAAGCCATGAAGCTCGTGGAGTGACCTTGGGCCAGTCACTATCTCTCAGCCTAACCTATCCCACAGGTCCAGTTACAGATAGGTAGCCGTGTTGGTCTGCCATAGTCAAAACAAAAAAATTCCTTCCAGTAGCACCTTAAAGACCAACACATCATCACAGCTCATCACAGCTATCTGCCAATCACCCATTCCCACCACCCTTCTGAGTAATACCCCTCCCCACCTTCTCACTATATAGAAGGATCTGGCAACTTCTGTTTCAGTGTATCTGAAGAAGTGTGCATGCACACGGAAGCTCATACCAAGAACTAACTTAGTTGGTCTTTAAGGTGCTACTGGAAGGAATTTTTTTGTTTTGACTATCCCACAGGATTGCTGTAAGGATGAATTGGGGAATGGAAACACTCTGTGTGCTGCCTAGAGCTCCTAGAAGGGAAGGTGGGAGAGAAATGATATAAATAAATAGGGGTAGAGTTTGTGGGCTCTTGCAGATGATGTGGGCTCTTGCGTTCATCCTTTCTCTCCTGCAGATTAAATTATATCTGGTCTTCTGATTTCTGAGCAGAGCAGTTATATGACAAGGAGTACTTGTCTTGCATTTGTCCTGATTTGCTTGTGAAGCATTTATATACCTTCCTGTTAGGCATTAGTTCATCCCACACTTTTCAATGCAATTCTCCACTTTCCAAACTGCATAAAAACTTGCTTTTTAAAAAGTGGATTTGTTGCACTAGGGTGATAGAGCCCTTTAAACCACTTTAATTGCACAAACCTAAGTTTGTGGTGTGTGCTTGATAGATGTAGGCACCCTAAATCTATTAAAGCACATGGTTTAATGCAGCCTCTCCAGTTCCTTCACACCCTCCAAACTCTGCTGTAAGACTTACCATCATGACAGGTCTGCTTTTCTTGGTTGACAGAAGTGACACTAGCAGGAAAAGAAGGAATCTCTTCTCGTTCTAGGAAGTAAAGAAAATTCCTGACATCAGACTAACAACTGATACAACCTGCAGAGAACTGGAGGGAAGTGGGGGGCATTCAATCTATTATTTTGTTAGCTGGCTATTTTATCCATTTATATACTGCTCCATTGTAATAAAACCTCTAAGTGGTTTACAAGAAACAACAACAGTATCTAACTAGTTAATGGCAGCTGTACAAGATCAAAGCAGACTCCCACAGAATATAAGGACAGAAAGAAACTGCTGCGAATCAGAAGCTGAAATTGGGTTGCTCAAAGCTCATGCTGATCCAAAAGAGCAGGGGTGGGGAACTTCCAGCTTAACAAGGCCTGCCAGACCTCTCCATGTGGCCCAAGAGAATATTTTGGCTAAACCATGCCCACCGGTGCAGAACTTTGCAAGTCCTGGGAATCAACTGCAAAAGCAGGTTACCTGATGTCACTGGTGCCATTATACCTAAGAGGAAGACTTCTGGTCTTTTGTTAAACATTATCTTGAACAATTTTTTAAATTCATTATATATGAGGTCCCAAAAGTTTTTTATTTTCTTGCAACTCCACCACTTGTCAAACTTGGCCCACAGCGGGTAGGGGAGGCCCACCAGCCATATTCCATTTCCCACCCCTGCAAAAGAGAATTCTGTGATCAGTCAATAGTGGCAGGTTGGGACTGATACTGCTATATCAAGAAGTGTGTTAAAAGGACCTGTTCACAGGAAGACAGGAGGCTGCATTAAACTGAGATTGTTCCTCCACCTAACCCAGTACCATCTAGACCAGGGGTTCCCAAACTTGGGTCTCCAGCTGTTGTTGGACTACAACTCCCATCATCCCTAGTTGGCAGGACCCAGCGGTCAGGGATGTTGAGAGTGGCAGTGGATCTCCAGGGTTTCAGGCAGGGGAATCTTCCAAGGCCCTAACTAGAGATGTCAGGACTGAACCTGGGACCTTCTTCATACAAATCAGAGGGGCCACCACTGAGCTATGGCACTTCCCCAGCTATGATGCCTCCAAATGATCAGGCACTGCTCATGATTTATCTTCAAAAAGGAGCGACATGCTATGTTGGATTGCTGCAGAGAAGGGAGATGTCAAAGGGCTCTACCCTGCAGAGCACATTTCTAACAGGGAGGCTGTGCAGCTCTCACTAATCTTTCATGACAAAATCATCCAAGTGCTCTCATCATTAGCAGGTCAGTTTCCCAATGTTCAAACTGCTATCTGCTGTTGCTGGGAAGCAGAGCTATTTTTGCTTTTCTTTTTAAAGGCATATTCACCTCTCCTGCATCACATATAGCTTGGGTTCATCAAGCATTTTTTTCCCTATGGTGATGCAAATTACACTGGTTCCACTGCTACAACTGATCACTCACTTGGTGTTTCAAGCCTTCTAAAAAGACCTAG